GTTGCTAAGGTTGAGAAACACTGGCCTAATGTAATGTTTATTTTTCAAACCTGATAATAATCCAAGCTTATATAAAGAACCTTTTGCTCTTCTTTACGTTTCAGATGAAACTACGTTCAGTGCAAGTTTAAAAAAAAAAAAGGAAGCTTCTAAGTCTTTTTTTCTAACAAGCATTCCTATCGTTTTGATTTGAGTCTTGCAGTTCAAGATATTCTCGATCCAACCTGTTCCACTAGCCATTCAAACAGGTGTTTTTTGCTAATCCTTAAGAATCACGGCGTTAATTAGGACCAACCTAAAACAACCTTGGATTCTTCCAAACGCTGCGGTGTATCAGAGTGCAGTACGGGAGAGGCCGATTTGCCGTAGCTGGGTTCTTGGATCGTGCCAAGCGTTAGCTTGTTTTGTGTAGAGTCCTTGGGGTTGTCGGAGCTTGGTGGTTTTCTTGCAGACGTTTCACTACCCAACTAGGTAACATCTTCAGAGCTAGAAGGGAGTGGGGTTTAATGAAACGTCTGCAAGAAAACCGCCAAGCTCAGACAACTCCAAGGACTCTTACAGTTCAACCCCGAGCTACATAGATTCTCTTCTATTTTAATTGCGATTTGTTGAACAAGCCACAAAGCTTGGATTCGTGTACCATTGGCACAAAAACTACCAACTGTTATTGTCATATTAAACAATAATCCAGAGCTAAAGGAAATCAGTTAGAGCCAGAGGAGATCAATGTCTCTCTGAGACTATCTACAAATAGCTAAATTAATAAAACAAATAACTGTCCTTATAATTGTTGGAATACACTAACTGTTCACACAGTACACTTAACAGGGTTACTGAATTCACCCATGTTCTGGGTTCTGTCTATTCCCCTGGGTTGAGTTCAACTCCTGGTGACATCACAGGCACCTCCATTTTGTTTTCTTGAAAACAGGACAGAAATGCTTAGTTCGTGTCCTTGTTTAAAAGATTTTTCTTTTCAACTTGCTTCAGCCCTTTTCTCCCATCAAAAATACCAGCTGGGTCTGATCCTGCTTCTATTTCCAAGGAAAAACGTCGCAAAATTAGGTGTACGTCCATTTCCACAACGTGCACCGATATAAGAATCCAGCTCTTTATTAGCATGAAATTGGTGGAGAATTAAACATTTTAAGGTCCAGTTCACCTAGATTTGCTCTGCCTCTTACTAACGGATGGCTCCAGACAGAACAGACCAAGTCAGCAGACAGAGGCCTCCGCTGTATTCGAGCACATCCTAAGGTTCCAGGTCTATGCTGACATGTGGATCAACCCAACGTCGAATGATTGTTCTCCGCCCAAATTCCGTCATCTCCTGCTTCTAGGACCACTTCTGGAAATCCGACTCAGCTCTTTGCATCACGGTCAAAAGTTTCCTCTGCTTTTTCTCGGGTGGCAGAAAAACCCAGAGGGGGTCTACTTCTGCCTGCAGAGAGAGCAAAGAGTTCTCGGATGTCTTCTGCTCCCCCTGGAACCACCACAGATCCAGCAGCTTAACCTAACCGATGGCGCAGTGAAAACAGAAGCGTCCTTCGCCGCTGGTCACACGGCGAGATCTTTGAAAGCACAGAGCTGAATATTCCTGCTTTGGTAATGCCTCCGGAGCTCGGAGTTCTTTAAGGTCTCCAGTTCATGCAGGCGTTCCCACGATTGAGAAAAGTCATCTGGACCTTCCCCACAGCCCCCGACGGGCGGAACACTGGGGTAGCCCGGGTGAGTCATGAGTTCAAGAGTGACCACCCGGATTCCTTGACCGGGGCGTAAAACGGAAGGTGGCAGAGGAGACGTCGGCTCCTCTTTTGCCAGATAAGCTGCGGTGGCGTTATCGATCGCGTCCAAGATGCTCTGGACAGACATGTTTTTCCCCATGGTGCTGAGTCCTATATATATATCTGGCCACCTGGGAGCAGTAGAAAAAAAAAGATCCTTCAATCTCAGAAATACAAGGCCTCCTCTGCTGACGCTTTCTTAACAATCGGTACATCCCTTTAATTTTACATTTTGGGGGGGCACAATTATATTCTTGGTGTCAAAACAACCCCAATTCTGCAAAAAAAGGGTTTGTGATAGAGCAAGAATGATTGGGTGACTGCACAGAACCAAAAAGTTCTTCTGAATGCTTGCTTCTTGACAGCATCATTATACTGTCCTTTTGCCTCTCACTTCAGTGCCAGTATTAACTCAAAATGTTTCTTAGCAAATCTGCTTATTTATTCTCTTTATATTTTAAGCCTTATGGGGTAGGTAGATCAGCGTGAGCAGAATACGGATCCTAGGTTCCCAGGACTGACTGACTGACTGATTTATGATGGGGAAGAATTTTATCCCACCGTTTCTCCACCAGCTGATCCAGGGATCTCCCATTTATTTTATCCCCTCAACAACAGCCACATGAGGTAGGTTGGATTGGGAGGAAAGGATCTAGTCTTAAGTCATCCAGGCAGTTTCCACAGCTGGAAGTTGGTTTGAGTCTTTATTTATTTATTTATTGAATTTGTATGCCGCCCATCTCCCCCAGCGGGTGACTCTGGGCGGCTCACAATGAAAGTAAAACGATGAAAGTCTTAGCACCTTAACCCATTTTGACCCTGCTGTACTAGTCTTACAGTCTAAATCAGGGTTTCTCAACCCTGGCAACTTTAACTTATGTGAACTTCAACTCCCAGAATTCCCCAGCCAGCCATGCTGGCTGGGGAATTCTGGGAGT